AACACGCGTGACAGATTCAGTCCGGCTTCTAACTAGCAAATGTCTTGCCCACGTCCTCCTTCCCTTTGTATCTCCTCTTTCCGTGTGTGAATGGTATGTACCGGTATTTAATCATGTGCTGGGAAAACAAACACACAAACAAACGAGTTACTTGAGAACAGTTTCCTGCTTAACCCTCTCCCTAGATCTGCAGAGCCAAAGGCACCCCCTCGCCTGTTCGTGCTATCACAACTGAAGTCAAGAAGCCAACAGTGTGCTCCATAGGACTCGACCCACTCGAGGCCTGCCTGAAATCTCAACATTTGGACAGCATCTCATGAGCCCCTGGAATGAGCTAAGGAGAGCACAAAGGGTGCAGCTACACCACCAATCCAAGGATGTGCCGTAACACTCTAGGTTACCACAGGACCCTGAGAGAGCCACTGAGGTACCACAGGTCCAAGCCCAACCTGGCCCTACCCAGGGCTTTCTGACTCAGCAACTGTTGAGGAAGGGCCCACCTGCTCTCACAGAAGCCGAGCACAGGTCAGTCATGACACACAGGAGGCCATGCCCAGCACTAAGACCCAAGCTACTTTCCCAGGGACACGGAGCCATCGCCTGGCCCAGCAGTGCTGCAATCTTTACCTTTATTTGCCTCTTCATTGTGATACAGAAAAGCATGATGAAGTACATCACCAGGATCGGCCAGAACACGGGGACGTTGAAAGCCTCGAAGAAGGTGCAGACCATAGCCACAAGAATGCCTTTTGTAGCTGCATGCCTTAAAGCAAAGGGGAAAATTAGTATGAGCTCTAGGTAGCACCAGGCACCTGTCAACCCGCTGACACTCCTGCCTTTGTCTGCTCAGAGGTACCTAATAGAGATACATCAAGTCAGTCTGTGTGGAACACTGAACCACATCCTCTCAGCCTTTTGAAAACTAAGATTTCCTATTTCTTTAATATATTCTTTTTTCACAGTTTTATTTATTTTTATGTGCAATTTGTGTGAGGTGAGGATGTCAGATCCCCTGAAACTGGGATTATAGACAGTTGTGAGCTGCCATGTGGTTGCTGGGAATTGAACCCAGGTCCTCTGGAAGAACAGCCAGAGCTTTTTTTTTTTTTTTAAATATTTATTTATTTATTTATTTATACAATATTCTGTCTATGTGTATGCCTACAGGCCAGAAGTGGGCACCAGACCCCATTACAGATGGTTGTGAGCCACCATGTGGTTGCTAGGAATTGAACTCAGGACCTTTGGAAGAGCAGGCAATGCTCTTAACCGCTGAGCCATCTCTTCAGCCCCCAAAACTAAGACTTCTTAAACTTATACAAAGTGTAATATGTACCTCGTGTTTGCTACCTACGACTGCCATCTGGAGAAGAGCCTAGGCCCTGGTCCTGACACTGGGTGCCTGAGTCCAGCACACAGCCCGCCACCATCACACCTCATCAACCTCTGTACTGACCCCCCCCCCACACACAAGCTCCTCTTTTCCTACAGAACAACATCCAGGCTCCTGGGGGCGTCTTGCCCACTTTCTATTTCCTCTCCCGGATCCTATCTCACACTCTTGCTCCATGCACAGCACCAGAGCTGCAGTTAAAACACTCAAAGAACTCAGTTTGCTCCTTCAGTTTACTGAGCCAAAGACTTTGGCTCCTTTTGTGGTCCAGGAGAAGATGGTCTCAGAGACAGGCCAGCAGGTCAGACATAGCTTTGACCTTTTGACAGAAGGTCGTAAAAGGAACTCCACTAAACCTACTCGTATGTGTTCCCATCAGTCTCTTCCTAGTCTCCCAGAACTTCCAGGATGTCGGCTCTGTGGAAGGCCTAACCTTCCCATGGTGCCTTGAGTCAACAGCAGTGCCTACAGGAGGCACAGGGCCTGGAAAACAGCTGTTAAGACCCTTTATTAACTCTAGACTACTGTGTCAACCCAAGGGGAAACACTGTGAAGTGATGGTCTCCCCAGAGAGCCCTGTGACCCACCCCATACCTAACACAGCTGTTACTTTTTAGATTAATGCATACCACATGCAAGCAAAACAAAATTCTCGTTTTGTTAAACCAATAACTATCTGGGACAAAAATTGGTCTACTCTAATAGCTCAAGTATCTTCCACAAAAGCCTTGAAGAAATAAAGACTTGACTGGTCAGGAGAAATGACTAGCCCCCACGTGTGGACAATTACTATATGTCTGTTAAGATAAGATACAGAGATGTATATACTCTATTGTCCATAGGAAAACAATCCACTCACCAAAATTTGAATTCTGGAAGCCTTCTAATGAAGGGACGAAACTCCTCATTCTGTTTGGTTGGTAATGAAGGGCCGTCATCTGAAATGTACAACATCATTTCAGATGCTTCAGAGATGAAGCATCTGCCTCTACCTTCGGGTTTCTGCCCCACTTGTAAGTCTTCCCTCGATGCTTCCAAACTGCTGTGCCTCACACATGGCAACAAACTGAGTCAACCAGAGATAAGTATGGGGTCTGCAGGCAACTCCGGAGAGACAACCAACAAACAAAAATACACTTCACACAGACTTTCCATTTGTTTTACTATCTAGTTACATAAATTAGGACAAAGACAAACTGACGTGTACATAAACAAGTAGTAAAGAGAGAATGCAGGCCATGTAGCGGTTCAGGACATAAAATCCATTCCCACAGTAAAGTAAGAAGTGACACTTGACTGCTGGGACAGACAATGCCTGGAACCCTCATGGTAAGACAACCAAATCCTGCAAGTCCTCTGACTTCCACATGTGACATACACACTTAATAAATAAATAAAAAGATAGGCAGTGATGGTGCACACCTTTAATTCCAGGACTCAGGAGGCAAAGGCAGGTAGCTCTCTGAGTTCAAGGCCAGAGCAAGTTGTGGGACAGCCAGGGCTACACAGAGAAATTCTGTCTCTAAAAACCAAAAAGGAAGGGCTGGAGAGATGGCTCAGAGGTTAAGAGCATTGCCTGTTCTTCCAAAGGTCCTGAGTTCAATTCCCAGCAACCACATGGTGGCTCACAACC